GAAATCTCCGATCCGTACCGAACCGACCCATTAGAACCGAATCTCCGAATCGAACCGAACCGAACTTTGGTTCGGTTCGGTTCGGAGATTTGTTAGAACCGGTTCGGTTCCGGAAATCCAGTTTTTGGAATCTCCGAAGTTCGGTTCGGTTCCGGAGATTTCTTGATCTCCGAACCGAACTGACCCATGCTCAGCCCTAATCCGTCTCCCCTAACAAACGTGCCCTTAATTTATTAAGATAGTGGGAGACAAATATATTAGGGTGTTGTTATTTGTCGCCCCAAATTACTACTTGTCGCCCGAAAAAAATATTAAAAAATTATAAATTTACAAAAATATCCCTGTGGTAAAAAAAATATTAATGGAAAAAAATGTATTCAAACGTCTAACAACAAAGCTCGGAAGTCAAAGAAACGTCTAGAAGCTAAGCTTGGCAGCCAAATAAACGTCCAGCAAAGAAGCCCGACTGTGAAAACAAACGTCCAAGAGCAAAGCTTGGAAGCAAAGGAAACGTCCAAATGCGAAGCCCGACTCTGAAGAGAAACGTGTAAATGAGAAGGGGAAACACATTTAAAACTTTTAAATTGCAAGCTTATTCTGCTGCTAAATGTCTAACTGGAAAGCTTGAGGCCATGTGAAACGTCCAAGAGTTAGGTTTTAAAGCATACCAAACGTCCTTTTATCAAAGCTTGCCTATGAAAGCAAACGTCCAGAAGCTAAGCTTGGAAGCCAGGCAAACGTCCAACATGGAAGCTCCACTGTGAAAACAAACGTCTAGGAGCTAAGCTTGGAACTCAAGTAAACATCTAATTGAAAAACTTGAGGCCATGCAAAATGTCCAAGAGTTAAGCATTAAAGCATACCAAATGTTCTTGTAGATGCATAAAAATTGTGGTCAATCAAATGACGCCACGTGGAAATTAATTTATTAAAAATCAAGTCATATTTTCTATTTATTTTAGGAATTTCCATAAATTTAAACCAAATTCCAAGTTTCTTTCTTTCTCCAATGATTTTCAAATTTAAATAGTTAATTAATTGATATTTTATTATTTTAATTCTTGACCAATCAAATATTGCCAAGTGTCAAATCATATTTCTTGGTAATAAATCACATGTCTTCTAGAAGATCTTGGTGAGATCTAGGTAGATCTAAAAGATCTTATGTGAATCATCATGAACCAATCAAATCGCATCCTACGATTCTTAAATTTGGTAGGGTTCTCCCTCCTACACCTATAAATAGGGGCTCTCCCTAATGTAACAAAAAACACTTCATAATTCATATTCAAGTTCAAGAGCTCTAGAGAATTCTCTCGACGTGATTCAAGTGTTCTTGAAGATTCAAAGGTGTTTTTGAAGATTCTAAGTAAGATTCAAGCGCGTTCAACCTTAAGACTGACGTTCAATCCGGAAACAAGCTGCAAAGCCTCCGAATAACGTTAGTAAACTAAAAACCGGCGTGGAGAAGATTCAAGGTCTACTTTGCGATGAAGACCAAGGATTCGTGTTCTTCGTTTTCTTGGGATATTTCGACGTTTGATCCGAAATCAAGGCGTTGGCCCTCTGAATAATAGAGATTGTAGTCTGGTTTATTTATTTTGATTCGAGAAATTCATTTGAATAATATTTTTCGTGTTTATAAATATAATTCCATGTGTAGCTTCTGTAGGTTTCGAATTGGTATAAATTGGAGTTGTGTAGCTTGAGTTGTTGCCATTTTACTAAAGTGCTACCCATTCGAAAAGTAGTTCTCCGGACTGTTTTGTTAACTGCATGTTTATTACTTAACCTCATTGATAATGTCATATTTTGCCAATGAAGTCTTCAGAAAAGTTGTAGGAAATTGAGTTAGCTAACTTAGGGTTTTTGAATTTCAGTAATATCATGTTTGTGGCTCCTGTTATCTTGGAATTACTGAAGTGTTGTAAGTTGTTCTTTTCCTTTCTGGACTACAACTATGTTTTGTGTTGTTGTTGATTTATCTTTGTGGCGATGTCAGAATTTGCTAAAGTTGTCTTCACAAAAATTATATCTTTATTTTTTACCTTTCTATGAGTACCAGATTCATATTTTTATCATGACTGTAGCTCGGGTTTGAATGTTTTTTACTGTACCCTTATATGAATGTTTGTTGATTTACATGTAGATAATGACCTCGTCTGATTCTAAGTTGTTCTTGAGAGTTGTAGATCTATGTCTTACACATGCCACTGGTTTCATATTATTTTGACTTATGTACTGCTAGTTGTGATCATTTATATATTGCTACGCATATCATGTTTTACAAAATTACTTGTTGATATTAAAAAATGGCACGCACTATCAAAACGCACGATTATATGACCTAAGTGATTTATTTCTTGATCCATGTAGTATGTTTGATCCTTAGATGTCCTTAGAGTTAAAAGTTAAGCAAGCCAAGATATCCACCAACCGAAAAGACTTAAACATAAAATGTTTTCAAAGTATATATATATATATATATATATATATATGTATGTATAAGACTAACGAGTAGCAGTAAAGCCTTGATAAGATTCTAAGACAAGTCTCAACGAATGTAGGTAATTGAGGAGTCCAGCCTCGACCTACTTCCATTGCTTTGAGTTATTTCAGTCCGGAAATCCAGGTGGGTTTCCTTTAAAATTTGCTATGCTGTAAATGTTATATATGTATAATTTGTGGTATGATCAGTTAATGCATGTGAACCATGTAGCCTTCGATGTGAGCTGTACCGACCGTCGAACGGTTATCCCCGTAGCTATAGAACGTACCCGATGGGTAGTCTCCTTTATTTATGTATGGCCGTAAGACCGGGGCATGGGCTCTCGGCTAGTGATCCCTGTTTGTAAGACCAATTCGTAGGTCTTGGCGGGGTGGATTACTCCTACTGGCTGGGCATCGTTGTAAGACCAAGGCATATGTTTGGAATTTGAATCAAGTATTAGCAGTAGTCTATGCGTAGGTGTGCACATGAGGGTTGACTCTGGGATAGGAGATGGGATAATTAATCGATTCGTATATATGTTGCGACCATACTTGACTTATTTATGATTATTGCTTTTTATATTGATTAATGTTTATTGCATAGTGGTGAGCACTACGATTTTCAACTGTGCTCATCCCCACCTGAAATTAACGTTTCAGGTTAAGCAAGATGCGTACGACGACGGAGTTAAGCAAGATGCGTACGACGACGGAGTTAAGCAAGATGCGTACGACGACGGAGTTAAGCGAGTGGTAGTTGGTCTATGAGACCGAATATTTATTGATTATGCTTCCGCTATTTTTTTTATGACTATTGATGATTGATAAATTTTTGAACTCTGAGATTTTGTGAAGTGCTGAAACACTATTGGGAAGATGCCCCGTTGACATTGTTATGTCTTGAAACTTGTGTTTTATTTTGGGAACCCGATTTGGGTGAATAGATGATTTATAGATTTATGAATCCCGTTTTGGGAGTTAGATGATTTATGTTATGGAATTGATATTATGTTGTGGAAATGATTTGAAATAAATGAGTAACGCCACAAAAGTTTGAAATAAATTTTGAGAAATTTAATCTGATTTCTCTGAAAGTCCGGAATTTCTTTAAAATCAAAGTGGGGCGTTACAGTAATCAAAAATATTAATGACAAAATATTTTTTTAATAGAATCATATTTTAATAGAATCGTAATTTTTTATTAGTTTACAAATAATTCTCATAGTTGTGAATTGATCTCACTTAGACTATTAGTCCAATAGAAATGACCTCATTTTTTAGTGAATCAAATGCCGGCATTTGATTCACTAAAAAATAATGTCATTTCTATTGTAATGACAAAAAATATTTTGTCATTAATAATATGATTACGATTTTATTATTAAAATTATATTAAAAATAAGTGTATATTATAAAATAACAATTCTATATCCTTTAAAAGATTTGTTGCATGGGTTGATGTTAGGTTGATTATTATAAGATATGTGGGAAAGTAGTTTGGGTGATATGTGGAAAAAATCAAATTATTGAGGAAGCTTTCACGTTGGACGTTTCTGGGTACATAAAGCTTTCCTTAAAGAAGTTTGTTGTTGTCCTAAGCTTTCTTCTGGGACGTTTGTTTGGATTCAAAGCACAATTATAAGACGTTCCTTAAAGACTTAAGCTTTCTTCTGGAACGTATATTTGACTTCCAAGCATAGCTCCAGGATGTCTGTTTTCACAATGGAGCTTCCATGTTGGCCGTTTGCTTGGATACCAAGCATAGCTTCTGGACGTTTGCTTTCATAGGCAATTTTCAATAGAGAACGTTTGGTATGCTTTAAAGCTTAACTCTTGGATGTTTCACGTGGCCTCAAGCTTCCCAGATAGATGTTTACTTGACTTTCAAGCTTAGCTCCTGGACGTTTGTTTTCACAGTGGAGCTTCTATGTTAGACTTTGTTTTAATAGGCAAGCATTAATAAGGGACGTTTGGTGTGCTTTAAAGCTTTTCTCTTGGACGTTTCTCGTGGCCCCAAGCTTTCCAATTGGACGTTTAGCGGCAGAAGAAGCTTGCAATTTAAAAGTTTTAAATTTGTTGCCCCTTCCCATTTAGACGTTTCTCTTCAGAGTCGGGCTTCGCATTTGGACGTTTCCTTTGCTTCTGAGATTAGCTCTTGGACGTTTGTTTTCACAGTCGGGCTTTCATGTTGGACGTTTCTTTGACATTCAATCTTAGCTTCTGGACGTTTCTCTTTAGAGTCGGGCTTCACATTTGGACGTTTCCTTTGCTGACCGAGCTTAGTTGATAGACGTTTGAATACCTTTTTCTAGTAACTTTTTTTTTTTACTACAGAGATATTTTTGTAAATTTATCATTTTTTTATTATTTTTTTCAGGCGACAAGTAGTAATTTGGGGCGACAAATAGCAATCTTGATATATTAAGGTGGAAGAAAGGAAGTGTATAGTTTTGTATTTTGCCAATAGTGAATTATTTATGAAATTATTTTTCTTTACAAGTTCCACTCACATCTATGCACACACACATATATGAAAATTCTAGAGTGTGTCATTTGTTTTCTCTTGCTGCCTCATTTCACCGACTTTGACTAATTTCTAAGTTGCTCTATTAAATCTAGATCTTCTAGATTTATATATATAATAAGAATTAACATTTATCAAAAATAGTAGGTTAATTAATGGTCAAACGCAGGTCTGCATTAATTATTTTTCATAAATGGCAAGTTTTAATTCCTTTTCACACACTGCATTAATAATTCATTAATTACACCGTTATCTATTTTCACACACTCCTTTTCACACACTAACAGGAACAAAAAGCGGCCTTATCCCGTTAATGCAGCCGTATTGTTTGAAATATTAAAATGTCTTTTTTTTTTAATATTGTTTGAAACAAATCCTCATGTCGCCTTATTTTTTGAATTTCTAATGAAATAAAAAGTTTCCTATTTCATATGCAATAGATTTATAGAATAATATTTTAATTGACATATAATTAATATTATTTTTCCAATTCATATGTAATAAACTTATAGATAAAATTTTTTAATGATATATAATTTTATTAATTTATAATTAGTATTAATATATGATTTAACAATTTTTTATAAGTTCATGTATAACGAATTTGTAGATATTTTTTTTATTGACTGATAATTTATCGGTTTTTTATTAATATTAATAAACTAGATAATTCATATTAAAAAATAAAATTATTTAATTATTTTATACAAGCACATGGATATAAAATTGGAGTTAATCAAAGGATGATTAATTTAAATATTATATATAAAAACACTGAAAGTTATTAACGTTAATTTCAAGTGTTTTATAATTTAAAAGTCATAGTATTGGTTATGAATTAACCCAAATAAATAACTTCGAAACACCATAATTGACACATCAAATTACGAAACACCATAATTCAACTATATGATTACAGAACACCAAAAGTCATATAAAATTGGCACACATTAATATAGGGGAATATCCAATATGTGATGATTCATTAATATCACAAATATTGACACTATGTGTTGTATCAACTAGCATGACATTTGGTATCAAAATATTTTTTTTTCTATGTTTGTGTATATATCAATTGATTTGTGTTGTTCATATTCACGTGCATCTTATCATGTTTTTTCTGAGGCTTTATGATTTAACTAATGTTTATGATATTTTTTTTAGGCTTCATGCTTTTTAGCTTATGTTTATGAAATAAAACCTAAATAGTAATATTATTAATTTAGGAAAAAAAAATTGTATATTGAAATAAGATATTTATTGCTTAAGTTAAACATATTTTGATAAAATAATCTATACTTATATAAAAAGTCATCCTATTTACTAGAAATAGTAGGCAGAAAAATCAAAGGTAATTAATGCGTTCTATTTCCATCAAGTATTTCAATTGTATTATTATTTTATTGCTAAAAAATCGAATTGCAATAATTCATCCTTAATTGATGTGTTTTGCAATAAAATCGGACATATAGACTTCAAGTAAAAACATGTCTCATTTCAAATTTAAATTTAAACATTAAAATTTCTTATCATTTTGTTACATTAAAATCCTGAATGAATTGTTTGCCATAAAATCGGAAAAAATAATAATTGCATAGAATTCAAGTAAAAACATGTCTCATTTAAAGTTTAAAATTTAAAATTCCTTATCATTTTGTTACATTTCCGAATGATTTGTTTCCCATAACATCGGACAGAATTAATAATTGCATAGAATTCTATTATGATTTCTAATTATATCAAGGATGTTTAATAATTGCATAGAATTTCAAATATGTTTATTTATTATAAAAAAATTAAATTTTAAAAAAACATTGTGTATATTTTTTAAAAAGTTTGTACAAAATATTTTACTTTAAATTTATTTACATAATTTAAATTAATTACATTAATAAATAATATGAACATACATTAAATTTTTTAATTACATTATATAGAACAAAAAGAAGAAGAAGACTACATCTATAACTTGTATAAATAATAATAATGACATTATATTGCAATAAATTTTATAATAAAATAATATGAGCATTATACGAGGAACAAGATTACGTAAAATTGTTATTTTTCTTATATTAAGAAATAAATATATTTAATGAAATCAAATTTATATTATTATAAACATGTGAGCGAGATAATATATTAATTAATTTATGGGCTACCGCTACCAGACTCAGGTTTAATGTTCCGACAAAAAAATGACGTTGATGAAAAGATGCAAAAAGATAGATGATCAAACTCTATTATTTTTTAGGCTTGAACGGACAAGCCTTATGGTCCACTCATTATAATATCTCACATGAATCGCATGAGCTAACGGACAAGCTTTGTGTAAATGACTCATTTAATACTTCTGTCTCGTGCATCGGAAGGGCTACGTATTAGTTGTAATAATATTTTATATATTATTCTATTATTGTGGACCATATAAATTAATTGGGCCTAATTGAATTAATAGTCAAACTTAATTAAGATGAATATGTATTTAATGGATTATTAATGTTCTAATATAAAAGAGTCCAATTTGTGATGTTTGACTTGGACAGTAAGTTAGGTTAGAACATGGAGAATGTTAGTAGGAATAGGTTTGTAGGATTCCTCCTATATATACTACATGCCCCTCTCTCCCATCTCATACAAAAATAAAGTTCTCAACATCAAGGACTTTATGGAAAGACGAGAGACGTGGGAGAGAGAAACAATTCACAATTCATAGGCAAAGGCGAATCCATCATTGGAGAAGATCCATGAGATTACGAGGAAGAGATCCAGATCAACATCATAGATCAAGAAAACAGGGAAGGACTATAAGCTGGATTCTTGTAAGTTCTATGTGTAATTTAATTTATGCAAAAGATCCATATTCTATGAACTAATAGAATTACATGCTTAGGGTAAATAGAATTACATGCTTAGGGTTTATTCAATTCCGCCTGATAGTTATGAGTATGCTCGTTAAATTTATTACATGTGGTATCAGAGCATGTGTTTATGCTTAATTATTTTGCCGATTAAAGTTTGTGCTTAATTATATTGTTCTTGCCAATTAGAGTTTATGGTCGCTACTGCAATTACGCAAATATATATTTTTATTGAGTATTGACAATTATGGGTTGATTGGATATGATAGTTCAACTTCTTAGAGCTTTGCGGATTAAATTTCATTCATAATATGGGTTGAATGATCAGGCTGCTTTGATTAATTATCTTGAATATCGTGAGTTGTTCCAGTGGAAATATTAATGTACAGGAAAAAAAAGGGTTTGTTCCTTCAATTGTTTTAATTCTCGTATCATGATTGTCATGTCAATTGTGTATTGATGACATTAGACACAATTGTTTACGGAAGATTATCGGGGTTAATTATGAAAATCTCTATCATCTGGAGACTAATTAAAGTTAGTGTATGTCTGTGACTCTGCACTACTTTTAGTTCTATTTTATTTGATTTGGTATTGACATATGTTACAGTTGATTATTTGTTGAAGAGATTAATCAAATGTCAATAATCTCATAATTCAATAAATTATTTCTAATATTATCTATGTAAAGAAACTAGTTAGTCATCAAAGTGCCTAGTTTAATTTATGGAATAGATAATTAAATTAGATAAAATATAATTAAAATAAAATATTATCTAATTATGTTATCTATGTAAGAAACTAGTTAGTCACCAAAGTGGCCTAGTTTAATTTATGGAATAGATAATTAAATTAGATAAAAGTATCAATTATTCAAATATAAGACGATGTCTTATTAATGTACTTCAATATTATAATATTTGAATAATTGATGTTATAGATTATAAACTAGGAGGACACCCAAAGGTGGGCCATGGTTTGTAATATATGACGATAAAAGAGAAATTATATTAAAGTTAGGTTAATTAGTGTGTTTGTCCAAAGATAACCACTAATTAATCACAATACCTATAATTTCTATTAGAGATCTTTCCTCTTAGGCATCAATCAAGTATATTATATATTTAAGTATTTGCCCAAAGGTATATTTAAATATATAATTTAAAAGATTTATGAATTCATTAATTGTCTCTCAAAGCTTAACTAAATAGCATGTATTAAAGTTTGCAGCGTTCAAAAATTTGGTTATCCGTACAGTATTATAGTTGAAAAATTCAATTGGCTGAAATTCAATGAATGGTCTAAGCATATCCAATTTCAGTTAGGTTCAATGAATTTGGATATGACTCTTTTTATTGATGAAGTTCCCACAACCATTACTGATGAGAGCTCTGAAGTAGAGGTAACTCTCCGTACGACATGTGAGCGATCAAATAGGTTGTGTTTGAATTTTATGAAGTTAATCATGGGGGATAACATTAAGGCTAATAATGTAAAAGAATTCCTAAATAAAAATGAAGGATTATCTCCATTTAAAATTGCGGGAAAAGTTTATTGTGGAAAGTTTCATTAATGTACTCTCCACTATAAAAGTTCATCTGATTCCGCTCCATCCATGATTTCGTGATCCATGTGTTCCACATATAAGCTAAACTTGCAGACATGAGAATGAATGTGATAGACTCATTTATGGTTTTATTCATCATGAACTCCTTATCTGTCGAGTTTGGCCAATCTTAGGTGCACTATAACACCATTAAAGATAAATAGGACTGTAAGGAAATTAAGGCTATGCTGGTGCAGGAAGAGGTGAGAATAAGTTAGATGAACGAAGAGTCGACTCACTTTATATCTCATGTGAGAGCCAATAATAGTAAGTTAAAATGGGAAATAAAGGCAAATAAAAGGAGACTGACTTACTTAAAGTTTTTGTAGGTCCAATCATTAAATAAATAAGGTGTTTTTTTTGTAAAAAGAAAGGCCACCTTAAGAAAGATTGCCTGAAATAAAATCTTGATTCGAAAAGAAAGACATACATTAATTTTTGTATGTTGTGAATCAAATTTATTAAAGATTCCCAATAATACTTGGTGGCTTGGCTCTGTGCAACTACTTATGTATCTCATATTTATTTTGAGGTTAAACGTAGTGCACATAATTAAAAT